TACAGAATCCTTCTCCCAAGAGTGGGGAGGGAATGGGGATTTTGCAGAATCCTTCCCCTGGAGTGGAAGGGAATGGGGATCTTGCAGTATCCTTCCCCTGGAGTGGGAAAGGAATGGCGATTTTACAGAATCCTTCTCCCAGGAGTGGGGAGGGAATGGAAATTTTACAGTATCCTTCCCCTACCATGCCCACCAAGCCACGCCCACAGAACCAGTAGTAAAAAAAATGAATCCCACCACTGGAGGAGAGGAGAGGGGAAGGGATGGGGTGGGATGGAAAGACAAAGAGAAAAGAAAGGAAGGGAGGAAAAGGAAGGGACGAGGGAAGGAAAAGGGGAAAAGGAAGGGGAGAAAGTGGGAGGCAATACCCTTTTGAAAACCCGATGGGGTGGGCTAGTGCATGAAAGACACTGGCTCCACACAGAGTAACCTCAGCAATCCCAACAGGTTGTGTGAATCACTGCCAAGTCCCAAACCCAGGCCCACCCAGCGGCACCCAGTGGGGCTCACTTACCACAAAGGGATTGGTGATCAGGAAGAACGTATATCCATACTGGAAAAACCCCAAACTGGACCCCACTATTGAGAGAACGAGTGGGCGGGTCAGTTTCTATGAGAAGGTGCAGGAGGAGGAGGAAGAAAACAACAACACAATTCCTTCAGTGGAAAGCAGAAAAACCAACGCAACACCCACAACTCATCGAAGACTTCCCCTCTCCCTTCCAATTTCTGGTTTGGATAAGGCGGCGGCCGATTTTTTGCACGTGCTTTTCTGTTAGGGGAAATGAACGATTTTCCCCAAGTTAGTTTGGACCCCTAGGCATCTCCTGGTGGGGTCTCATCCACAAGCAAGCCAGCTGAGCTTTAGGAGATTCCAAAGATTTTCTAGGCACTGCAATTTTTTTTTTTACTACAGTTGCGAGCTGATCCTCTTCAGAAATGCTTTATAATTTCTCTGCCCTGCCTTGCCCCGGAGCTTAGAAATAACTGCACTTTCCGCAGCCTTCCAAACTCACATTACTTTGGATTGTGTGTTCCGAGACCTCATTGTCCTCCATCCTTCCGGAGAGATCAAGGGGAACCCCTGATCGAACAAAACAAAACAAACATTTTTTACAAACCATACTCCCCCTGAATCCAGGCAGAGAACCTCCACAAGCTGCCTTCCCTGATGATTGCAAGATAGACTGCGCCGGACTGAGGAGGCTCCTTAGAGCCCATCACCAACAACGGACGGCTTTTCTCAAAGAGGAAATTAAAGAGGACATACCTAAGCAAACGGTTTTCCCCTTCTTTTCTTCTGAACCTTGGCTTGAGAGTTTCCTGTTCGATTCCTAATTGTTGTAATAAATCCCCCAAATTCGTTGGCATCTTCCCTGACCCGCCACTGCTCCTCTGTCACCCCATTTGGAGCAGGCCAGTCTCTGACTTTAAGGCTAGTAATTCTTTTTAAAAACCCAACTTACTCTTTTTTGGGTAAGGTGTCTTGGGAGTGAAGGGAGAAAAACCACAGCTGTCTTTTCCTTTGAAGGAAAAATGCTGGAAAAGCTCTAAGAGCCAATCAGGGGAAGGAGGCGGGAAGATTCCGGGAAAAGAGAAATGGCAGTTAGGGAGCTGTTTTGCATAAATTTACATCCAGGGGATTCCAGGTTCAGGGACGGCGCATAATTTTCCCAGCGTTTGCGCTACAGAAAGTTTTTCCAATTTCCTCCGTATCCGAGCACCTGGTGATCTCCTGATGGTCTTCCGTCCCAATTCTAAGCCAATTTATTCGCACTTTCTTCCCAGTCCTTCCTTAATTTAAACGCCCCGTTTCCCCATGAAACGGGGGAATTAATTGATCGGATACTTTATTTGGAAAAGTATGTTTAAACACACATGGAATTTGTCTCCAGTGCAGAAGCTCTGAATGGGAGTCAAAACCAAGAAATCACAAGGGAGAAGAGTAAAAAATAGTTACTTAAATGCAAGAAGGTTGTGAGAACGATTTTAAAAAAAACCTAGCAAATCGCCGAAAATGAAAGTGTGAAAAACTCTCTCACATACACACACAAGCATTATATACCGAGATACACTTTTGAAGCATCTTTTTCATTCTCTCTAAATTGAACTGCTGGGGTGGGGTGGGGGTGGAATTAAAACAGGGGTTAAAAAAAAAAAAACCGAACAAAGATTCAAAGCTCGTTTATTTTTATTTTCTTTTTAAAAAACACACTTTTTGTTCAAAGCCCCAGATGGACAATTAAATTTTAATCTGTAGATTTAAGAGTTTTGTTCCATGGATGTTCAAAACGCACAAACACACAAGGGAGAAGTGAGGTATACAGAACGAGAAAAATCAGCATCCCCCCCCTCCCCCCCAAAAAAGAAAAGTTTTAAAAATTGCAGCATTTATTCGAAGGCCAACAAAGTGGCATCCCTGCAAAATTGTGGCTGTCCACTGGAACCAGACATGTGTGAGTCCGTTGCTTTCCTGGATGGCTTGCGATTAAAATCATAATTAAGTGATATGCAACCATTTGCAGTCAACTCAAATGCAAAGTCTTTACCACCCACAAGTATCCGCCTCGTATCGGATCGTTTCAAGAAGAAAATTGTAGGCAATTGCTCGACTCCAATGTCCATCCCTGATCGGGCTAGTTGAGGATGATGGGACCTAGCCCCCCCCCCCTCTCTCTCTTTCCTCTATGATTTCCAAATAGGGTGTCGACAGCCACATCTCTCCTTTCCCCCCACCTTTTAAGCCTGGAAAGCCTTGTTCCTTAACATTTCATTCAACGTGTTATCCTCTTCTATTCTTAAAACTTGAATTAAAAAATTGAAAAAGAGATGTCTTCATAGCATCTTTTTAAAAATGAAGGAAGGAAGGAAGGAAGGAAGGAAGAAGGAAGGAAGGAAGGAAGAAAGAAAGAAAGAAAGAAAGAAAGAAAGAAAGAAAGAAAGAAAGAAAGAAAGAAAGAAAGAAAGAAAGAAAGAAAGAAAGAAAGAAAGAAANTGGAGTGGGGAGGGAATGGGGATTTTGCAGAATCCTTCTCCTGGAGTGGGGAGGGAATGGGGATTTTGCAGTATCCTTCCACTGGAGTGGGAAAGGAATGGAGATTTTGCAGTATCCTTCCCTTGCCACACCCACCAAGCCATGCCCACAGAACCGGTAGTAAAAAACCTGAATTTCACCACTGGGTCAACCCATTCTCCAAAGCACCGGAAGGCAGGACAAGAAGCAATGGATGGAGATTAAACAAGGAGGGAACCAATGTAGAACTAAGGAGAAATTTCCAGGCAGTGAGAACAATTAATCAGCGGAATGACTTTCCTCCAGAAGTTGTGGGGACTCCAACACTGGAAGTTTTTAAGAGATTGGACAGCCATTTGTCCAGAATGGTATAGAGTCTCCTGCTTGAGCAGGGGGTTGGACTAGAAGACCTCCAAAGTCTCTTCCAATTCTGTTATTATGTCATTTATTGTATATTTATTTAAACACAGCCCCTGTTAATCTGTCTCAATTTAAACTTTGATTCTCTTAATTGATTTGGCGCTCTGGTGGTTAGGAGCTAAGTTGGTACTCAGGAAATGGTTCCACGTTACATGGCAACGTATGGCACCAAATGCAGGGGTGAAATCCAGCAGCTTCTGACAGGTTCCGGAGAAACGGTAGCGTAAATTTTGAGTAGTTCGGAGAATCGGCAAATGCCGCCGCTGGCTGGCCCCAGGAGTGGGGTGGGAATGGAGATTTTGCAGTATCCTTTCCAGTGGTGGGTTTCCAATTTTTTTTTGAACCTACTCTGTGGGTGTGGCCTCTTTTGTGGGAGTGGCTTGCCAGCCATGTGACCTGGTGGGAGTGGCTTGCTGGCCATGTGTTTTCTTTCTTTCTCTCTCTCTCTCTCTCTCTCTTTCCTTCCTTTTGTCTCTGTCCCCTTTTCCTTTTTTCTTTCATCTCTCTTTCTTTTTTTCTTTTTTCTTTATTTATTTCTTCCTTTCTTCCTCTTTCTCTCTCTGTGTGAGTGTGTGTGTGTGTGTGTGTGTGAGTGGTGGATTTCAAAAGTTTTTGGAACCTCTTCTGTAGGTGTGGCCTGCTTTCNAACCTTTAGATGACCCTAACTGTTAACTGTGCTAGAGTGAAACTAACCTTTAGATGACCCTGTTAAGTGTGCTAAGGTGAAACTAATGTTTAGATGATCCTGTTAACTGTGCTAAAGTGAAACTAACCTTTAGATGATCCTGTTAACTCTGCTAAAGTGAAACTAACCTTTAGATGACCCTATTAAAGGTGCTAAAGTGAAACTAATGTTTAGATGATCCTGTTAACTGTGCTAAGGTGAAACTAACCTTTAGATGACCCTAAGTGTTAACTGTGCTAGAGTGAAACTAATCTTTAGATGGCCCTGTTAAGTGTGCTAAGGTGAAACTAACGTTTAGATGATCCTGTTAACTGTGCTAAAATGAAACTAACCTTTAGATGATCCTGCTAAAGTGAAACTAACCTTTAGATGACCCTATTAAAGGTGCTAAAGTGAAACTAATGTTTAGATGACCCTAAGTGTTAACTGCGCTAAAGTGAAACTAACCTTTAGATGACCCTGTTAAGTGTGCTAAGGTGAAACTAACGTTTAGATTATCCTGTTAACTGTGCTAAAGTGAAACTAACCTTTAGATGACCCTGTTAACTGTGCTAAGGTGAAACTAACCTTTAGATGATCCTGTTAACTGTGCTAAAGTGAAACTAACCTTTAGATGACCCCCAATTGTTTTGGAGGGAAATTTAGAACATTTACTTATATTTGGGCAGACTTTTTCTAGTTCTTTGATTGGTTACGGCTCCGTGGGCCTAGAGTATAAATCACAAGCATTTGCCTGCAGTTCCTGAGTTCCATTTTTGAGTCAATAAATGTTGTTCCAGCTATGCTGGTCTGGTTCTTGCCTACTGAAGCCCATTACACACTACCCTCCCTGGCTTAGCATTACTTAACGTTTGCAGCAAGGATGAAGGTGAAAATACTTACTTTCTTCATTTCCCCAGATCCAGGGACTGGTTAAGATTTGGACCAGAAGGTATCCCCACATGAAGAAGAGGAACAAAGTGGTCACCAAGGCTCCCCTCATATTCAAGGAAGAGATTTCAAGGATGTAGAGAGGGGAAGAGTAAATAAGTGTTCCTGTGGAATAAATTAAACATTGCATCATGGTCACAGCCTACATTCTAGCAAGGGCAGGAATTTGGGGTATCTAATGGTGCGTGGTTGTGGCCCTGATATTTGCAGATTTAAATCTCCAAGGTAGGGAGCACTGTGTTATACTTTTTACTTCCCCAATCCTAAACTCCTAAATTAAGGAACATTTAACGCAAAGACAGAGTTCAGCCCTTTTAAGTGGCCAAGGACTCACCTGACCCCATTCCTACAAAAAAACGGGCAAAGATGCTGAATTCAAAGCGCTCGAATATTTTATCAAAACACAAGACGGCGGACGAAAAAATACTAAATCCGTTGCTAATTAAGAGGGCGGATTTTCTGAAAAGACACAGAAAGAGACACATTCAAAGATCAGCCACCAGCATCTTGTTTGTCTTTTTTTTTTAGAGCAGTGTTTCTCAACCTTGGCCATTTGAAGATGTCCGGACTTCAACTCCCAGAATTCCCCAGCCAGCGAATGCTGGCTGGGGAATTCTGGGAGTTGAATTCCGGACATCTTCAAGTGGCCAAGGTTGAGAAACACTGTTTTAGAGGAACAGTTTCATGCAATACGCTAAAATACCTTCAGGGGGAGCTCCAACATGTGCTGTAACCATCCAGATGTTGGCATCAGGGGAATTAGGGTGAGGGGACAGAGAAGATTAAAACGGGGATCTATTCATATTGTTGAGGCTAGAAGGCCCAAGACAATGATTTCCTGAGCAAATAAACTTTTCCAAATTATATAGATATGATTCATTCAATAAGTATTATTAAAAAATATAGAATAACAACCCAATTGGAGATAGAAGGACGATTCTAACTCACTCGCGTCACTCTGCTAATTTCGGCCTTCCTGTATGTCTGGTTTAAAAAAAGGACTAGGGGTGATGTAATAGCTGTTGCCACAAAGAAGAGGGGGTTAACCCAAGGGTGAAATCCAGCAGGTTCTGACAGGTTCTGGAGAACCGGTAGTGGAAATTTTGAGTAGTTTGGAAAACCGGCAAATATCATATCTGGCTGGCCCTAGAGTAGAGTGGCAGTGGAGATTTTGCAGTATGCTTTCCCCAGGATTGAGAAGGGAATGGGGATTTTGCAGTATCCTTTCCCCAGGATTGAGAAGGGAATGGGGATTTTGCAATATCCTTCCCCTGGAGTGGGGAGGGAATGGGGATTTTGCAGAATCCTTCTCCTGGAGTGGGGAGGGAATGGGGATTTTGCAGTATCCTTCCACTGGAGTGGGAAAGGAATGGAGATTTTGCAGTATCCTTCCCTTGCCACACCCACCAAGCCATGCCCACAGAAC